TTTAAAAAAAAAAAAAAAAAAAAAGTTGACATTTTGCCCCCTTGCTTATAGAGAGGGTTGCTCATCGGTTCATATCCTTTTATGGAATACCCTTGTCTGTACTTGTTACATGGTATTTCATAGACTTTCATAGACTTGTCTGTACTTGTTACATGGTGGTCCCTTGTCTGTACTTGTTACATGGTATTTCATAGACTTTCCTTTTATGGAATACCTCAGTTGAGTGAGGAAGGGGGCATGCAGCATCCAAACAACTGAGGGCATAATCACACTGAGAGACGTTTTTATTTTTATTTCTGGATGTCATTGGCGTCAGATACATCCTTGTTGGACTGCAAATGAGGTCAGATACATTCAAGGGAGTGCTAGGTAGTGTGGGTACGCCCTGAGCTTGGTCCATTGTATAGTTAGGTCGGTTGGAAAACTGACGTCTTCCCCCGACCGAATAGAACGCCCGGTCCTCACAGCTGTATTTGGGGCAACTTCCAGTCCAGATACAGTGATAATTACCGGGCGTTCTATTCTGTTCAAGACGTACCCACCTCGTAATCATAATCTGCTAAATACCAAATCTATTCTGTCAGCTTCCGCGTCAGCGTCGATGCTCACTTTTTTTTTTCTTTTCTGTTTCCAGAAGTCACTTTTGGTGGTGAAGGCGCTTCTTGTGTATGTGAACGGATTTGCTTGCTCGTTCTTCTTTCTTATCAGTGCTCTTTTGCTCGGGCTGATTTGTTGACAATGTATGTATGATTGGCATGCAGGTACTTGGACAGAGTTGAGCACATCACCGAAGATCTGGTACGTCTCCTTTGCTACGTAGCCCAAGGCAAAAGCTGCCCAAGGCAAAAGCTATTCTTTCCTGATGATTGTTTGCTTGAAGGCTCCGCCGTTTGTTTTCGAAAGTGGCACAACGTCTGCGGCAGAAAAGCTACGCTCCCTTGAACATGATTGGACTTGTGTGATTAAATGTCTAGTACCGTTGAGCCACATGAGCTGTTTCTGTTGACAGATCTGCTCTCTCTCTCTCTCTTTTTTTTCCCTTCCCCCCCCCCCCCCCCCCCCCCCTCTCTCTCTCTCTCTCTCTCTCTCTCTCTCTCTCTCTCTTTCCCCTTTTTTTCCTCACACCCCCCCCCCCCCCCCCCCCTTTTTGGAGGGCGACGGACTTGAGATGTTGTCATTGAGCGGACCGTGGCCCAGGCAATTCAGAAATATTTGGTTTTACTCATCAAGTTCTATCATCTGAATTGGAAATGGGGTCTGTATTTCAACAGTTTTCATGGGTGTATGCAGTGAGCTAGGCTCTTGGGTACCTTTTTTTTCTTTTTTTCTTCAACGAGACCTTTGTTTTCTTTTTCTTTTCAATGAGACCCGTCTTTTTTCTTTTTTTTTAATGAGACCTTTTTTTTTTTTTGTTTTGGGGGGGGGGGGGAGGAACATATAAAACGTATGTCGATTGGTGGGGGGCATAGCCTGCTGGGAACTGGGCCCAGCGTCCCCGAGGAAAGTGCTGCAACATGGACTCAAGGCTTCCCCATGTTACGGCC